CTAGATGGTATCCCATGCAATCTCACAATCTCATCAATATACAGTCCAGCCAATCTCTCTAGAGAATACCTAATGTTAATAGGTAAGAAATGTGCACTCTTAGTCAACCTATCAACTATAACCCAAATGGAATCATGCCCTCTCCTAGTCCTAGGCAAAGCAACTACAAAATCCATAGAAATGCTATCCCACTTCCACTTGGGTATACTCAAAGGCTGAAGTAGTCCTGAAGGTTTCTGATGTTCTATCTTAGCCTTCTGACACACTAAACAGGCACTCACAAATTCAGCTATATCTTTCTTCAACCTAGGCCACCAAAATATCTTTCTAAGGTCTTGATACATCTTAGTTGCCCCTGGGTGAAAACTAAGCTTGCTCCTATGACCTTCCTCTAGGATCAAATGTCTAAGTGTAGGGTCACTAGGCACACACACTCGATCTTTAAATCTTAACACTCCATCTACAACCAAGGTAAATTCTCTTCCAACACCTTGTCCTATAGCAGAGTGGATACAGACCCTCCAACACTTCCAGTAGCACTAACAATAGATCCTCTTGTAAATGACTTGTTTTTATTAGTAGCAGCTTTACTCCCTTGAAATCTAGTAATAGGAGCGGAGTAAGGCTTACTCCTACCCGAAGTACTAGATCTCACAGCACGGATAGGACCTCCAACTCCTTTATAGAAAGCAGCACGATCACGGTTGTCACGATTATAAATGCTACATTTATTGACCAGAGTGGAAAAATGATATATCTCCTGATAGTTAATTGCAATTTTCACTTCAGGACGCAGACCATTTACAAATTTTATACATTTAGCCCTTTCACCACCCTCACAATGGTAGTGTGTACAATAACGGACCAAAGCATCAAATTTGGCAGCATACTCTACCACTGTGTTGTTCCCTTGATTCAGCTCAAGAAATTCCATTTCTTTCCGACTCCTTACATCATCCAGAAAATATTTCTCAAGAAAAGCCTTCTTGAAGTTGTCCCAATTCAAGTGCACCCCTCCATCAATCATCCTTCGAAGTGCTCCTTCCCACCAAAAGTGAGCATTAGCAGTCAACATGAAGGTCGCCAACTTCACCTTTTGAGTAAGGGGACAATCCATGACATTGAAGATCTTTTCAATCTCAGTTAGCCAATTCATAGCAGCATCTGGGTCATATCCTCCTTTAAAGGTAGGTGGGTGATTTCGTTGAAATTGCTCCAACCAGTTAGGAGCGACCTCAGCCCTATTATTATTATTCATAGCTTGTGCTAATGCTTGAAGAGCATTAGCAATCGCACGATCATTTCTACCAACCATAGTCTAAGAAAATAATACAATTAATAAACATAATCAATCATCATACTAACATACCAACAAATTTCACAATCAGTTCAGTTCATCATTCATGTACCAAATAATCATAGTAAACCAAATAAGCATAGTAAACTCATAACTCACGGTCGATTAGATCGACCTGCTCTGGTACCACTAAATGTGACACCCTTCTACCCCAACATTAATATACAACAAATGTAACAATAAAAAAAATTTTCTTTCATTTTGAGTAAATAAAATCTTTCATAGTTGACAAATGTCTCAAATATCACAAGGTAAAAGATTCATATTCATAACTCATAAATCAGAAATCCAATGTAAAAATTACAAAAGAAAAAAAGTTAAGATTGTATGTGTTTAGGATTGAATGTGTTTAAAAATATAGAGTTGTTAAAAATTTAATTTTTAGAATTAATAGAATGTGTTTAAATTTTAGAAATATATTGTGTATGTATTTAGGATAGAATGGGGGCCATGCTCTTTGTTGTTACCAGTTCTCTATATTTATTTATATTATGTTTGGTATATCTTTGGTATATCTAAAAAATGAATAAAGTACATTTCAGAAATTTTGGATCTTATGGTGATAAATTTTGTCATTGGGACAAAAAAAATAGGTTAAAAATTTGTAAACACAAATTTCTTTCTTAAATTATTCTCTTTTGTAGTCGCACTTAATTTTTCCTTTCATGCAAGCAATTGTTTTTTATTATTTATTTACCGTAAGAGTTAGGTTTTTTATATATAATTTATTTATTTAATTTTGGTTTTGATTAAAATTTTGTATGATTTTGTAGGGTATAACTAATTATAATTATCTTGGTGTTGTAAGGGAGTTACAAGTAAGTATATAAATTTAATTTTTTTAAAATTTATTGTATTTTTAAAATTTTGCAAATATAATGTATGTGTTTAAATTTTAGAAATATATTGTGTTGTGTTGTAATTATTTAAAATAATTTTAGGAGTTGTTAAAATTTTAATTTTTAGAATTAATAGAATGTGTTTAAATTTTATAAATATATTGTGTATGTGTTTAGGATATAATGTGTTTAAAAATATAATGTATGTGTTTAAATTTTAGAAATATATATTGTGTTATGTTGTAATTATTTTAAATAATTTTAGGAGTTGTTAAAAATTTAATTGTTATAATTAATTGAATGTATTACTAGTGGAAAAAAGGCTTTTAAAATCGGTTATTTTCAAATTTTAAAATCGGTTCCGTAACCAATTTTAAAAGAGCCGATTTTAAAAGTTAGACTTTCAAAATCGGTTAAATAACCGATTTTAAAAGTTGACTTTTACGATCGGTTGTTTTATAACCGATCTTAAAAGTCTTGGTCATGAAAAAAAATTAAACTGAAACGGGTCGTTCCAGGTTGTTAAAAAGACTACTTGAAGAACGGACACTAGAACGACCCGTTCTCCTTTCAGTAACGGGCCATTCTCATGAAGAACAGGTCGTTCTCCTTGTAGAACGGGCCGTTCTCCTTGCAGAACGGGCCATTCCAGAGTCAAAATTTGCTCAAAATGAACCTACAACGAAAATAGAGACAAGAGAAGAGCATCAGAAAATGAAAAGAGACACAAGAAAAGCATGAGAAGATGAAAACAAAAACGAAATTTACCTTATTGGAGACTTTAGAAAATGAGAGCATGAGAGAGTAAAAAGGAATGGAGGAATAGATTAAAGAGAATGAGAATTGAGGGAAATATAAAAGGTTTCTGACGATACTTTTAAAATAAGTTATTTAAGAACCGATTTTGTATACTACATACAAAATCGGTTATGAAATAACCAATTTTAAAAGTGGCACTTTTAAAATCGGTCATAAAATAACCGATCTTAAAAGTACTTTTAAGATCGGTTATTTTATGACCTTTTAAGATCGGTTATTTTATGACCGATCTTAAAAGTTATGTCTGATACAACTTTTAAGATCAGTTCTTTTGTAACCGATCTTAAAAATTGTGTCAAACATACTTTTTAAGATCGGTTATAAAATAACCGATCTTAAAAGTGTTCATATTATTTACAAAATTGTCACCGCATCACTTTTAAAATCGGTTATCTTGTAACCGATCTTTAAAACTCTGATTTTAAATCCAATTTTTCACTAGTGATTTAAATTTTAGAAATATATTGTGTATGTGTTTAGGATTGAATGTGTTTAAAAATATAGAGTTGTTAAAAATTTAATTTTTAGAATTAATAGAATGTGTTTAAATTTTAGAAATATATTGTGTATGTATTTAGGATAGAATGTGATTAAAAATATAATGTATGTGTTTAAATTTTAGAAATATATTGTGTTATGTTGTAATTATTTTAAATAATTTTAGGAGTTGTTAAAAATTTAATTGTTAGAATTAATAGAATGTGTTTAAATTTTAGAAATATATTGTGTATGTGTTTAGGATATAATGTGTTTAAAAATATAATGTATGTGTTTTAATCAACATTATATTAGTAGAAAATTCGGGGTGTTACAATGAAGATGTGGCATTCATGTTTCACAAATTTGTAGAAGACCCAAATGAATTACTACTGAATTTTTTTGTTACTTTTGAAGATCTGGAGCCTCAACAATTGTAGATGTGGAACATGGTCAATTCATTTGAAAGACAACTAAACTTCATGTAGGTTACCGTATACGTTAACAATCAATGTTTACTTTGTTAAGCTATGATGTTTACTTTTGCAAAGGATTGTGTTGTTTGTATCGTTGTGCTAGGTTGGTGGAGTACTTTCTTCAAAGGTTAGGTCAGGCAAACGCTGACCTTGCTCTGGGTAAACGTTACTGTCAAAAGTTAATGGATGCTATGGAAACAAATCAAGAACAAGCAAGCTCTCATTTCGTTCGCAGGTATGATCATGAGTGTACAAGATTTGAAGTTGAAGAAGTCTTCAATGCAGTAACACAAAAAGGTGGGAAGGTTTTCAATATTTTTTTAACTGAAAAAAAATGTGAGTGTGGTGCTTTTCAGGCATATAGATATCCATGTTCACATGCAATAACAGCTTGTGCACACGTTCGTATAGATCCATTAACTTTTTTTGATGCCGCATATACTAACGAATACATCAAAGCAGCATATTGTGGTCAATGGTTCCCACTTGGAAGTGATGAAAATATTGAACCTAATAATGGACCTCATATACTCCTAGATGAGACAATGATACGTGCAAAGGGACGCCCAAAATCAACCCGCATTAGAAATGAAATGGATTGGATTGAATCCTAAAGGAGACAACGATGTGGACATTATAGGCGTGAAGGGCATAATAGAACTAATTGCCCTATGCTGGCTGAAGATGTTATCAATAACGCATGAAAAGTTTGTATTTTGCTGTTTATTTAAAGAATAAAATTCATGCAAAGTTAAATCATATGTCAATTCTGGTTCAATTAAACTGTTCTATTATACAATGAAATAATGACAACAACATTTACATTAACTATTACACAAAAAAAACAAATTACTTCTTCAACCTATTCTCGTAATCTTTGGAGCGTGTAACCAGCGTGGTTTAGTGGCATATCAACTGTAAAAAAAATTTAATATTAGTAAACTAAACATTTAGGTAAAGAAAACAATTTAAAATGATCAATTATGTTTAAGTACTAACAACTTATTATTCAAATTACCTATTCATTTCTCCGCATGTGCTGCTCATGGGGACTTAATATACATTGCCATTGTCTATGGCGAGCACCACGATCTGGGTTCCTCCGAACTACCTCATCACCATCTCCCTCAGGGCTTTTAGCTTTCGCTGCTAATGTTGTATTAAGATCATGCCCTAAACCTGAATGTTGGGAAGACGTACCCCCACCAAAAAATCCTCCTATCAGAACTGAGGGCTGTCCAAATCGATAATCTCGATAATCCATCAAAGGTGCTAATGGAGAGATCATGTCTGGAACATATGGAGTAGGTGTAAACTGGAACATACTACCACCCAACATACTCGGGACATAACCCATCGACGCCGATGCCGGGAAATTACCTGCACCAGACACTCTTGTTGTGTCAAATCCAAAAGATGTGTCTTGTGCACTACCATACACATATTGTGTGACATCTGCATCTGGGGTCAATGTAGTCGGATAATATGTCCCAGTTGGAGGCTTAGTCGGAGGAACTTGCATCTGTAAACCCTGGTGATCAACTCGCCTTCGTCGAGGACTTAGCCCCTTTCCTTCTCGTCGACCCGCCCCAATGTGCTCCACCTGAACTGCGTCTGGTTGTGGTAATTTTGTTGCTGGAGCCGGTGTAAAAGGGAAACTCACCTTGTTCACCTCGTCTCGCAACTGCAAGCAGTGGCCGATCCTCTCATGCATCATGGTAAAATCGAAGGAATCCCTATGTTCTTCACTGGTGCCATGATACATGTGTTCCAAAACATCGATCTACAAATAACATAACAAATATCATCAGAACACTAAATTTCTAAATATGTCACAAGTAATTATTTAAATACATCCGTAGATTTGTACTCACCACATATCCTTCCTTTGCACTAGAAGGAGAAATCCATCGCCTTGTATGTTTCCTATACGACACCATGTATTCTGAGCTATTGCTCAAGTGTGGTGTATCACACGCAGGTTGTGTCCATATACGATGAAGTCGTGACTGCCACTCCTGCACAAATTGAACGTGCATGCGTGACCAGTCCGTGTTATCCTTGCCTCTCAAGGAAAGATCATGCAATTTCTCCGGATGAATAGGAGGCGCAGGAATGTGTTGGACCATCCCAAATTGTCGCATGACACGATCTGCATAATGATACTTGACGATGTGGAAATTAATCAATGGGACAGTTGACCTCCATACTTGTGAGTCCTCAAAACAGTAAGGAGGTAATGTAGGTAGTAACTCCAAGTATGGTTGCCATACAAACTGCAAAACAACATAACAAATAACTAGTTATCAATTATCATTTAGAATTACAATTTTTAAATATAAATCTTGAATAAAATATTATAAATTAAGACTTACATCCTCTGTTTTTAAACGGTCCAAATACTCTCTATATTTCACAATTTTATCTTTTGTTTCCTCTCTAGGTTTATGCAAGGCATAATTCCACCTGTTATAAAAACAAAAAAACCATTAATACTTCAACATACAAATTATTTCTAAATATATTAATTCTTAAATCGATCACAAGTAATATAGTTACTAACCTTGCCCCTAGAGGAACATGAAATGTAGATAAAGGTGGATGAGGTGGTGCAAGAAATGGAAACCGATACCATGCCCATAATTGCAGTAAAATACCTGAACCACCAATTTCCTTGTGATCATAATTTGTGCACACGCACAACTCCCTGTACATATTCGCCAGCACGCATGACCCCCAACTCATTTGACCACAAACATCCAGGTCTTCTAGGAAACTCAGGTATCTGAGGGATACATACGAGCTAGAGTGATCAGTTAGTAGATATCCCCCGATTATGCGTAAAATGAACGCTCTAGTATAGCGTTCCAACTGTTCCTGGCTATGTATATGCTCAAAAACATTAGAAAAGTGTCGGTCAATCTAGCTCATCCTCAATCGGCCGCTAGCAAGCATTGACTCAAGGGGTGTCATGCCAAGAAGGCGCTGCACAAGAGCTCCCCAATCCATTGTTGCGTATCCAGTAATGGGTGCCCCAGAGATCTTCAACCCAAGTAACATTGCAACATCCTCCAAAGTGATAGTACACTCGCCGAAGGGCATGTGAAACGTGTGGGTCTCTGGTCTCCATCATTCAACTAAGGCAGATATTAAATTATTGTCCACAGAAAAGTAACTGATCTGAGCCATCCCCATAAAACCATCCCTCTGTAGAAGATCCTGAATAGGAGCTGGAATCTCAACACCACGCAACTCTGATTGTGTTGCTCTCCTAACCTTCAAAACCCTATCTTCAGCTCCATTCCATATATGCTTAGATATATGGAATGGTTGAAGCCTTAATAACGAATCTTCGATAGGTCCTGCATGAATCATCTGTGTAGACATCTTGATATAATTAAACAAACAAACAAAATAAGTATTAAACTCAAACAACTAATTACTTATAAATTTTATAAATGCCTAAATGCCTAATTTAATCCCTCATAATAATTCAAAATTTTCAATTGAAACCCTTCATGACAGCAATCAGAACGGCCCGTTCTGAAACCAGAACGGACCATTCTCATTGCACAAAACGTGTCTTAAATTGGGTTCTGGAACGTCCCGTTCCGAAAGTAAAACGGGTCGTTCTGATCCCTTCCATTTTTCAATAAACCAAACAACCAGAACGACCCCAGAATGGCCCGTTCTGAAATCAGAACGGCCCATTCCACATCCAAAATAACAACCAAATTGTTCAATCAAAACGGCCCGTTCTATTTTCAGAACGGGCCGTTCCACACCCAGAAACCATTAACGAATCAGCCCTAAACAATTTTTATTTAAATATTTATTTCTAAATTTAAATAAATAAAGTACAAATCATACCTGATAAAAACGTGCAAAAATAATTTTGTGGGCAATAAAATTTTTTAGAACGTAAGTGGTAGAAACATTTTCTCAGAGCGCCGGGAGTACAAGCGTTTTCTAAAAAAAAACATATCTGCCTCTACTCTCGGACTCACATTTAAACACAAAATGGGGGAAGCTGCGCCACGTGTCAAATGCTGAACAGATGGCGCCTCCCCCCTACTCTTTCTTTTCCAACCTGCCACGTGTCATCATGTAAATAGAAGGCGCCTGGGGGGAGGCTCTTTCTGAAAAGCGCTTCCTCCTTGCTCTTTCTTTTCCACGTGGCTCAGCTGCCACATCAGCCACATAAGGCGCCTGGGGGGAGGCTTTTTTTGAAAAACGCCCACCCCCCATGCGTTTTCTCATCCACGTGGCTTCTCCCGTGTCAAAAACTACCTATTCCGGTAAATTGTTACTTTTTTAATTTATTTTGTGTATTTTTTTTTAAATTTAACTGGGTCAAAAAGTCGTATCGATACCCTTCTTTTATAGAGGATACCGTAGAAATTCTCTAATAAATTTTGTCAAGAACATTACATAATAGTAAATAAGCACCGCAATCAAGAACATAAATTCACACACATGCTATTATGACCAAGTAAAAATATAAATGAAAAAAATCAAACGAAATAAAGTTGAATTTAGGTTAGGTATCTTCCCAAGCCCATAAATCACTTCCTCACCTCTTAAAATTTGTGGAAACAAATCATTAATTTTTCTTTTCTAAAATTATCAGTTCTTGCATATTAATCAGAATTGTTTTTATGTACATTCATTACTATATTTTACTTCTTTTACATTTATTAAAATATTTATAGATCAAATGAATAAGTTATTTTATAACATTTTTTCTGAAAAATATTATTATAAATAGAGTAATATTTTTTTATTTTAATATTATTTTTTTAAATTATTTTCAAAGTTAAAGTTCTACATTGAGTAAAAAAAATATCATATAAAGAGTATATTTTTTCAATCTTTAATTATTTTTTAAAATTAAAGTTTCACATCAAGTAAAGAAATAACACGTAAAAAATACATATAATCATATAATCTTTAATTGTTTTCTAATCGTTTGTGGTTTGTTATGTCAATCCTGGGGTATGTTTCTTGAATGGAACAAATGAAAAGAGTATGACAAGACAATAGAAAGATTAAGGAGGAATGAATTTCGTGGAGCAACAAGAAGGAAACCAAGTAATCTCAGTTTAGTGATTTAGTATAGCAGCTTTTTGGTCAATATAAATTTAAAAATAAATAAAATACAAAAAATAAAAATTTTAAAAAAACTAATCACACTAATATAGGTGAAATCTATCACGTGGTAGAAATCATTGGCACAGGGGGACAAAAGCTTTCTAATAGGACAAAAGTGTGTTCAGATGGCGCATGGGGATACTCCATTTGAACATTGTGCATGTTGTCATGTCATTGATGAAAATGGCACAGAGGGGCCATGCTCTTTGTTGTTACCAGTTCTCTATATTTATTTATATTATGTTTGGTATATCTTTGGTATATCTAAAAAATGAATAAAGTACATTTCAGAAATTTTGGATCTTATGGTGATAAATTTTGTCATTGGGACAAAAAAAATAGGTTAAAAATTTGTAAACACAAATTTCTTTCTTAAATTATTCTCTTTTGTAGTCGCACTTAATTTTTCCTTTCATGCAAGCAATTGTTTTTTATTATTTATTTACCGTAAGAGTTAGGTTTTTTATATATAATTTATTTATTTAATTTTGGTTTTGATTAAAATTTTGTATGATTTTGTAGGGTATAACTAATTATAATTATCTTGGTGTTGTAAGGGAGTTACAAGTAAGTATATAAATTTAATTTTTTTAAAATTTATTGTATTTTTAAAATTTTGCAAATATAATGTATGTGTTTAAATTTTAGAAATATATTGTGTTGTGTTGTAATTATTTAAAATAATTTTAGGAGTTGTTAAAATTTTAATTTTTAGAATTAATAGAATGTGTTTAAATTTTATAAATATATTGTGTATGTGTTTAGGATATAATGTGTTTAAAAATATAATGTATGTGTTTAAATTTTAGAAATATATATTGTGTTATGTTGTAATTATTTTAAATAATTTTAGGAGTTGTTAAAAATTTAATTGTTATAATTAATTGAATGTATTACTAGTGGAAAAAAGGCTTTTAAAATCGGTTATTTTCAAATTTTAAAATCGGTTCCGTAACCAATTTTAAAAGAGCCGATTTTAAAAGTTAGACTTTCAAAATCGGTTAAATAACCGATTTTAAAAGTTGACTTTTACGATCGGTTGTTTTATAACCGATCTTAAAAGTCTTGGTCATGAAAAAAAATTAAACTGAAACGGGTCGTTCCAGGTTGTTAAAAAGACTACTTGAAGAACGGACACTAGAACGACCCGTTCTCCTTTCAGTAACGGGCCATTCTCATGAAGAACAGGTCGTTCTCCTTGTAGAACGGGCCGTTCTCCTTGCAGAACGGGCCATTCCAGAGTCAAAATTTGCTCAAAATGAACCTACAACGAAAATAGAGACAAGAGAAGAGCATCAGAAAATGAAAAGAGACACAAGAAAAGCATGAGAAGATGAAAACAAAAACGAAATTTACCTTATTGGAGACTTTAGAAAATGAGAGCATGAGAGAGTAAAAAGGAATGGAGGAATAGATTAAAGAGAATGAGAATTGAGGGAAATATAAAAGGTTTCTGACGATACTTTTAAAATAAGTTATTTAAGAACCGATTTTGTATACTACATACAAAATCGGTTATGAAATAACCAATTTTAAAAGTGGCACTTTTAAAATCGGTCATAAAATAACCGATCTTAAAAGTACTTTTAAGATCGGTTATTTTATGACCTTTTAAGATCGGTTATTTTATGACCGATCTTAAAAGTTATGTCTGATACAACTTTTAAGATCAGTTCTTTTGTAACCGATCTTAAAAATTGTGTCAAACATACTTTTTAAGATCGGTTATAAAATAACCGATCTTAAAAGTGTTCATATTATTTACAAAATTGTCACCGCATCACTTTTAAAATCGGTTATCTTGTAACCGATCTTTAAAACTCTGATTTTAAATCCAATTTTTCACTAGTGATTTAAATTTTAGAAATATATTGTGTATGTGTTTAGGATTGAATGTGTTTAAAAATATAGAGTTGTTAAAAATTTAATTTTTAGAATTAATAGAATGTGTTTAAATTTTAGAAATATATTGTGTATGTATTTAGGATAGAATGTGATTAAAAATATAATGTATGTGTTTAAATTTTAGAAATATATTGTGTTATGTTGTAATTATTTTAAATAATTTTAGGAGTTGTTAAAAATTTAATTGTTAGAATTAATAGAATGTGTTTAAATTTTAGAAATATATTGTGTATGTGTTTAGGATATAATGTGTTTAAAAATATAATGTATGTGTTTAAAGTTTAGAAATATATTTTTTATGTTGTAATTATTTTAAATAATTTTAGGAGTTGTTAAAAATTTAATTGTTAGAACTAATAGAATGTGTTTAAATTTTAGAAATATATTTTGTATGTGTTTAGGATAGAATGTGTTTAAAAATATAATGTATGTGTTTAAATTTTATAAATATAGTGTTATGTAGTAATTATTTTAAATAATTTTAGGAGTTGTTAAAAATTTAATTTTTAGAATTAATAGAATGTGTTTAAATTTTAGAAATATATTTTGTATGTGTTTAGGATAGAATGTGTTTAAAAATATAATGTATGTGTTTAAATTTTAGAAATATATTGTTTTATGATGTAATTATTTTAAAATTTGTTGTACAATATTTTTAATAAAAATGTTTGGACTATTGAACTATTTGGATTAGTTAAATAATATAATAAGAATTTTGATAAATGTAATGTATATTATTTGGGTTTAGGGTAATTTTAATTTTTTAATAAAATTGTATATGTTTTTTTATATGATTTGAATCGTTCACGCAATATTTGTAGAAATATAGTTCATGTCTTTGGTTAAAGGTGTTTTTGGAATTTTCTCATTCCCAATGTGTACACAACATATTTGCACGTCTACGATAAATAAATAATAAAAAAAATTGATTGCATGAAATGAAAAATTAAGTGCAACTGTAGAGGATAATTTAAGAAATATATTTGTGTTTACAAATTTCTAGCCTATTTTTCTTTATCCTAACAACAAAATTTATCATCATAAAACCTAATAATTTCTGGAATTCACTTTATTCAGTTTTTAGATATATAAAACATAATATAAATAAATATAGACAATTGTCAGGTGCATGGTCAACAAGGAGCATGACCCCCCTACGCCATCTACACTGCTAGATGCATAGTGAATAAGGAGCATGGTCCCCCTACACCATCTTCATCCATGACGTGACAACATGCACAGAGTGTTCAGATGGAGCATCTTCCCATGCACCATTTGAACACACTTTTGTCCTATTAGAAAGCTTTTGTCCCTCCTGCGCCAAGTGTGAT